ATGGCAATCGTAAAAATCTCTGCATTTGACAAGTGAAATAATGCGAACCTTTGTAGATCGCAATCGTTTTCCATAATTTTCTCTTGACTGAATGCAACAAAATGTGTCCGTCTGATTGCGAGCGTTTTCGCACCGCCAGCCAAATCGACGGACGTGACATTTGCTGCACGCAGTTGCTGCCGCCTTGGTTAAACGTGCCTAAACCGTCTGCTTGCTGATTCTGCGTAATTCCACGCAAGATAACCATGTTACAACACGGTTGACTTCTGACTATTGAACACCGCATCTACCTACCACGTGATTCCGGTCTGACAGTTCAACTTGGTCACGTAGACCACACAATTCTAATAGGACGGCCAAGCATCCAGATTCGGAATACGTCAAAATAATACTATTAGCAAAAAAATAACACCTCGCCTGGTATTTAGGCTACGCAGATACTCTTCAATGCACAGATTCTCCGGCTGAGGCCGCCAATTAAAAATGCGGCTTGATCTCCTTTCTCTGCTTGGAAATCACTAAGCACATGCCAGAGCATCCGGACTCATGTAGATCTAAATCATGTCTTCTGTATTCGAATTAATGATCATCTATTAAGCAAGAGGTACGCACCACTTACTGATGATAGCCAAAAAAAATTAAAAATATGATCACTGCATGATGGCTACCAAAAACTCTAAATTTACTTCCTTTCATCATTTCCGAGTTCACCGACTATGCGAAAGATGGGGATTTTATCCGCTCATGTCGCCTATCTGCGAGGACTAGATAATTTAACATAATGATTTCCCCCACTATACGTTTCTTCATCAAAGTCATAAATTTAACGACCTTACAGATTGTAATATATGCAAGACACTTACCCCATCACAGAAGTTGTAAAACACACCTAAAGCACAATTTTGTATTCCACAGTAGTTGATTCATCGTACCCCCGAAAGTGGAATTTTTTGCCTAGTGACAGCAAATGAATCGGCACTAGAGGCTGTTAGCCACCTGCCGAAGAAAACGTCTTTATAAACTAGAGAGCTTTGAGAGCCAAGGCAATGCTTATCCATATTTGCCTCCTGGCTTATCGAGCGTCCCATGTAAACAGTAATTGTGTCCAAATAGACGCACACCACAGGTGTCTAAATAAAGCAACAAATGCAACGAATTTGTGTCACCAAATCAAGCAGCAAGCCTACACAGCAAATATGTGGATAGCAAGGATTTGCCCCTTTACTTGGTAACAAGGTTAATGCTGCATCCCGTGTGCCTCGCCTTCCAGTGATTAATGAGACAGAGACTCATTTCCCTCATCTATCTCGTAGTGTTTCACTTGGTCACAAGTTCACCTGACCACAATCAGTGGAAAACCCCTGACAGACACTTCTCCTATACATCGGTTACTTACATATATTCGTGCCCGTGTATGCAATGACACAAACATACAACTGAGCAGAACTCTTAAACAAAATTGATGTGTCTACTTCACCTCACCAGGACTCTGCTCGTTGTAATCCGACATCAATAAAGTGTGGCCATGCAATGGCTAGCTGTACTACTTTGCATTCCTCCTAGTTTGAGACCAGAAACACGACAGGCGACAGTGGGTACGACAGTTAATTAGCGCCAGGTCAACCAAATTTGTGTCTGCTTGAGGGTGCGGGCGTGTGATTATCGCGCGTGTTGACGACAGCTAATCAAGGCTGGAGGTGAGCAATTGACATCGGTTTAATCACCGAAGAGGCTTCATTCACACGCGTTCGCTGACGTTCTACAACAAACATTTCCCCCGAGAGCATTTGTTGTGGAGCACAGAACACGCCAGAAAATAATACTACCCCATCAAGAAAAACGGGAGGCAGGGAAAGGTGGAAATACGGGGAAGTGTAGGGTGAGCTGATCGTTCCTTGATTATGAGAAAGGGACATTGGTGTCATCTACGTAGATAACTATAAAACGAGCTATACTCATGATATTCTGCAATCTATTTCTATTACCCTTAAAAAATTGCCTGCCATCGTAAGGTGAGTATAGAACCTTGTGGCGCTATCCTAGGGTTAATTAGTTTTCTGTCAAAGAACTTCAAATGATCAACGTCGGATGAATAAAGAAATTTCAACACGACTGCCAGAATTAGTAATCATTGCCAAAAAAACAAGTTCAGCTGGAATCGATTTAATGTTACCTTTCACGGTATTGCAAATGGCCAACAAGATCAAACATAATGCTCCAGTAGCTTAGATGATACAATCAGTTGGATGCTGTGGGATTTGCTGCAATTCGAAATATTTTGCTTCCATTATGACGGTTCTAGTTCTGAAACAAATAAGGTACGATTTGAGAACGCCTGTCAGAGGTAATAGAACTTAAAATGCTTATTTATTACACCTAGGGCTTCTTAAACACACGAGTAACCATTTCAATTGCAGAGGCTTTACCTGGGAATGCCACCGACCTACAGGTAAAATAATTCACAGAAGTGAATAAATCCGCAAAAAGATGGAGGAGACCCGGCTGAATAAATATGCAAATGTCGGAAAGTGTTCTGAATGCGATAAATTAAGTCGGTGGACTTTACTTCGTTGACATTGAATACAGCGCTTGGCCCATAAACGCATATCTGTGCAGACCATAGGCCAATCAAAGTGGTCTGTTGCCAAGCGCGTAGTAGTCCCAATGCCAAGATGTGAAAGCGAGTGAGGAAATTTAAATAATTGGCTTGCAAATTTAACAGAAACAGTCCTCCGAGTTTTGCCAAATCACTACTAATTTTGTTAAGAAGGTGCATTAATAGGTCAGGACCGGTTTATTTTTATATAACTGCGCCGACGACATTTTAGAAAACACCTCGTTGCAAGGCAAATTTGTCGTTCCTTCTCCAGTGGCGCAGGTTTGTGAACTTCATGATAGCACTAATTAGAGCGTGAAAGCCGTTTCAGGTTCCTTATTGGGCGTTAGCTTCTCGGGACTCTTCTGAAGCAGGTTGGTAATGGGCGAAAAAATTGCAAGGGCATTCAGAATAAAAACGTACGTAGGCATTGGCCAAACCGAAATTGGCAGAAGCAGTGGGCTGATTTTGGCACTGGAACGCTCCAATTCTTTGCTTTTTCTTCGTTGAAGGCCTTGTACCACCCACACTGATGTGTATGCAAAACTTAACACGATCTACTCCAAAGCAACACTTTTCTAGATTATTTGTATTGTTAGAGGCCTTTGGTCGATAGCGAACCCGCTATTTGTGCAGCAAATGTTGATCTCCATGTTTACTGGGGGGCGATAATGCCATCAATATCTCCAAACACGACATCAATACCATCCAAACTTGGTCAGTGGATCTGAGCGGCGTTAGGTAAGCCAAATGGAGTAATTGCAGCAGTTTCGTGTCTGCCAGCAAAGGCAACAGGTATCAGGTAACATGCCTAATAAAGGGCAATTTCAAGGAAGACTCTAGCACTATCCAAGGTCAAGAAAAAGTCTTTAAGGTGTAAACTAAGAAATCAGTTAGGAACTATGACATTTTTGAAGGTTTATTTATCTCTGCAGAGTCGCCAGTTCCCTGAATTTTAAGGTACTTAATGAAATGGATGTAACCTTTACTTCTGGTTTTTGATTTATCCGTTGTTTTAGTTTTGTACTAATTTATTGGCACCAGCCGACAACCAGTGCACTTGATTTTAATTTGCCATTTTTATTGACAAAATTTCTAGATAGGGGTGTGTGCTAGTTATATGCATCTAATATTTGAATTCATATTTACGGTAGGAATACCTTAGTGCCCTTACAAAAGCGACAAAGGCCAAGAGGGCTCGTCTGCTCAAATTCTGCTTTGGTTGCTCCAGAGTAATTTATGACTTAACTTGTTTCTCAAAGATTAATGACACCGACATAATAACGTCTGAAGTTATTGTAGTTGATAGTACATTATTTATGGTGGCAACTTTGGTGTCGTTCAACTTAAACTCTACGATCATCTTAGTGGTTCATCTCTCGCTTGGTTAAATCCACAATCGGAGCTTGAAACGCGTCTCCCACCAGGCTTAAACCACCTTTGAGTCTCGATGCATGGATCACATTACCTAGCATTTAGGCTCACAGGCATTCCAATATTCCAATATTGAAGAATGCAGCATATTGGCGAAATGGCTTCTCGTTTACATTAACTTAGAGGGATTCCACAAAAATTCATGACACTAAGCTCCTTGATAGGCGAGTCAGAAGCATGCCGTCTAGATTTCTATAGCCTCATTGAAGCCTAACCTCCAAGGTTACACCTTTAAACGTATTTTTAAAATCTATTGGGTGTCAAGAAAGCCCGTAGTCCTCTCTACCCCATATTCATTGCCATTTTGGCAGATATTCTTCTTTTCGATCCCAGTTTAAGTGTGACTGTCTAAATATCTTATCTCAACTGATTAAATTGGTCACTTTGAACTTGCCATGATACATATCTAAGACCCTTCATCTTAATATCTTATGCCATTGCAGGTTAGTTTCTCAAGCAACTGAAGATTGACGTATTATAAGGCGAATTAGTGAAACTGATATTCGGCATTAATATAACAGCTAGGTTGCTTGACTAGGGGGTTCGCCAACAAAAGCGTAAAAAGCGTGCCATAAATTAGACAAAAATACTTGGGCCGTTAACTGTGTATTCATAGGACTATAGCCTTTTTACCATTTCGGATGCGCCATCCAGACAACTACAAGTTCACTAGGGCAATTGCCACTTTACCTTAGATAAAGACAACATACATGTTTTTAAGTCAATGTCAAAAATTTATATTAATTAGTTTTAGGTACGTTACTATTTTCGCAGCTAATATACATATTAATTTTTAAAAGAAAAAAAATGCAAAATTGAATAATTTGATTCAAACACTGACTTTTATAGTAATCCTTAGAAGCTAGTTATTAAAAACCGTATTTGTATTTACTATAGTCTAAATAGTATTTTTTGATTCATTACACTGGATTTAGTCATTACAATTTGTTCTGTTATGCAATTTGTTTAAATGGTTTCAATTAATTCTCGTTTGATTAACTTTGTGACCAATTTTTCAAAGGTCAAGGGCGCCGTCCTCGCCGACACTTTTTCGAAAATCAGGGAGATGGATCCTCGAATTATCGATGACATTGCGACGTCTGTTGCCAAATTAAGCATGTTTCCTTATTTTGACATCGCCCATTATGTGCTGATGAGCACAGCCATCAGAGATGATATTCCGCAATCAGGTTGTTCTTTACTTTAATAACGTCCTTGTTTTTTTATTTCAGTAACAAATATATCAAGGGTTTTTTTGAGTAAATTTTTAATGTTTTGAAAGAATGTAGTTTATTATGGCCGCTTTTTCCTATAGTCAAAGAAAGATATACCTTAAAATTGCACTATGTGAAGTGGATCTTACTATACTGTCAGGAAATCATACTTTATTCTGAATGTCATTTTTACGTAGACAGTAGATGTCTACCACAAAATAGAACCCATAAGTTACCATCCGATCTTTTTTTTTCAACTCTTTTTGCTAAGCTTTTTAGGGAAGTTTTTATAATCGCTTGCATTCATGAAGACGAGTTGCTGAAATACTTGTATTTCCGATTACTGCCTTTTAAGTTCATATATCACACCATAATGAAGCAAAAATCATGTATCCTGTGCAACTACTGCTCGAAAAATTAAAATAAAGTAATGGTATTTCAATTGTGCAATGTGCACGATGTAATTAGTTTTTAAAAGGGTTATAAAATAGAAATTGGAAAATTTGATCGCAATTTTTCATGAACATGAAGTCAAAGAAATCTAATTTGCTACGAAAACCTCTTGCCTGTGATATAACGTGGTTCAGCCGTCCCTAATCAGTTTACATTTAGTAATTTTAGCGCATATGTATTGTCGATTTTTGTGTGACACATATGACTTAATGTATTTTGTTTATTATGGTTAAAGATACATTTGTGTTGTGTCCCTTGCAGCTAAGTTTGGTTTAGGTATCTCAGGCGACATTTTAAATTATTGTGGATAAAAATTAGCCTCTATATTTTGGATCTAAAACTATGTAAAAACCCAGATCACGTTCATCCCCATTTTTTTGCATTTTCAAATACCATTCAAATTGACACCTGACTTACAATTCAGAGCCACAGTGTCTAACAGCCATTTTGAATTTTTATTGCAGGATCTGGTGTTTTTTCCCGGAAACATCCATTCGCTTGTTGGTTTGCCACAATGTTAATGTGCTTCGGCGGCAGCATTCTCAGCAATTTTGTGCTCGGAGAACCGGTGTTTGCCTGTTTTGACGATCATCGTGCTGTGCTGACTGCAACTGCCGTGTGGTAGGTATGACGTAGCTGCTTTAACTTTCTTCTATCTAGGTATCTGATAAATTACTCGCCATTCGACATTGTTTACAACATCTACTCAATTTTCACATTTCGCCTACTGATCTGTGCCATGAAGGAGGTACAGCGAGCCAAAAAGATTTCTCTTGGTGTCTCTCACGCCTTCCATGATTATCCACACAGCATGGTGACATGCGTTTTGGTTGGCCTTCTAAAAGGTACGCTGTATTACTAACAACCCCACAGCAATGCGCTTTTTAGGTACCGGTAGTTCTATAATGCGAAGCTTTGCTGCTCTTTCTATTGGTGTGTGGAAGCCTAAATCAATTGAGTTTCTAGTTTGCTCGTAGTAAGTAATCCATATTTTTAAAAAAACCTCCACCACACTCTCAACCAAGTTATTCCCACCACTCATAATAACAAGTTAAGGAAAATAGCTTAGCTTAGGGCCCTGCATGCGCTTTATCCGTAAACGTTCCGCAACAAAAAACTGCTTGTGAACTTTAACAGGTACGGGTTATTTGGAGATGAAGATTTTCTCACGACTTGTGCGCGGAGTTTGGTTGCCCGCGTCGACGGAATTTCTGCATCCTAGTTTGTAAGTGTCATTCCCTTCAATCCGCGCCGTTTTTCAAAACACATTACCCCAGGTTTCATCTCGACACGTCAGTGGTCCTGCGTTGCACCCGTAGTCATTGGCAAGCCCAGTCAGGAACCGCTTTTATAGATCACTTGAAGGATCGATGTAATAAGCAGGAATTGGTACACGTAATCTTTTTATGTAATTCACTTTACGCATCGCGAGGCAGGCCGAGTTGTTTTATAGATCAACCGTAACCTGTCATAAGACGATTCTGATTTCTTTATTTTGTTTTTTTTTCAAGCACATCGAAAATCTCACTCATATCTGCGGTCGTCTTTTACTGTGATCTCATGGATCTGATTCCTTTACACCGAAATCACCTGTTTCTTTCCGTTGTTGGTGTTCTCGTCTATATGCGGTAATTTACTTGTTTTTTTTCCATTAAATATGTCTCGCTATTTGTAAAAAAAGTGTTACTACATGTTGCTATCATAAAAGTAGGAAGAAATCAGTTCGATTGTGTGATATTAAGTAGTATGAAAATGCATTTAATTACGAACTTATTGGGTTAATTTTCATTTTTTTTGCATCGCACCACAGGAGGCATTTGGTAAATACGAGCTTTAGCCTTGTTACTCATTTGAATTTGGAGTTCACTTTTCTTAAGTATGTTGTAAACAAATACCCATAAAAATACATCTGGTAACGCCAATCGAAAACGTACTGTTTTTTTGGTTACCGTTAGTCATGTAGTGGGAACTTGGATTAGGCTTTCTCTAAAACAAAATTTATTATCTGATAGTATTATCCAATATAACCTGATTGTAGGATATCTGTTAACTCCAAGCCTGAAGTAACGTTTCTTTGGTAGTCGAGTAATAATCATAAAGCTACTGCCTCCGTAGTTTAGATTTTTTCACGACTCAGTCCCCTAACAAATTTTGCTATTTCAGAATTGCCATGTTGTGCTTCGGCCTGAAAGATCCCTTCGCCCCTATTGAAAACTTAATCTGCAGTATCTTCTTTGGCGGCGTCGTTGACGCTTTGAAGACCGCCGTGACTCGTCACATGACTGATGACGCGTCGGAGATAGCCGTGACCAATCAGAACGTGATCGGACCCAGTGCCTCCGCTGGAGCTTCTCAGGACAATTACGGTGGCTCTGCGTCGGGCGGGGTTGGGAAAGATGGCTCGGTGACCGCAACACTTCGTCGAACCAACCCTCCTGCGTCCCCTTCGAATGCCGACAAGAAGAGAGACTAAGTCAGATCGTTCTCTACCCACCCTTGACGGCTTTTCGCAGCTCATTTTTGTCAAGTGAGATAGGTACGCTTGCGATCTCACTTTTTCGTTCAAATTAGGGCTTTCGTAAGGCAAACTAAATCGTCCGTGTTCTAGCTATAGTCCGGAATAGACCTGGCCAATCGCTACTACCTACGTGCACTTTATATTATGCGTTTGTTCCTGCTCACCCTGCCAACATGTGTGTACGTTTAGAACGACAATAAAAAGCTCAGTTATCGCAATGATACTTTTCTCTATTTGGGTTCAGTACTTCGGTGCATTAGTCCCTTTCTCACTCGCCCCCACCTCCATTCATCTGCCTTGCGCACGCGCCGTCCTAATCATCCCCTCCTGAATACCTTTCAATCTGCTCATTCTCGATCTAGTTGCTTTCCTCTCGAACTTTAAAGGATTTTTAGTAAATAAACTAGGAAATTTTGGTCTTCCGTGGTTAACAAAAACTCTTCTGAAGTGATGCACATTTTTTTGCAAACTCCTGGGACTTCAGGAACCTGGCAGTTGCCACGTCTTGGCCAACCAGGTCGGGCCATCGATTCGTTAAAGTGCGCATATGTACACGCAAAATCAACTTTTGCCACGCGCCATGCCTCTTTCAGAAAAGAAAAATGTGTGGGCAGCATACATCAGCCGAGTTTTATCGTCACACTGTTTGCATACATGGAAAATGCGGTAGAAAAATCAGTTGTAAATGCCGGATTGTTATTGTAAAGATCAATAAAAGGAGGGATATATTGAGTTCTTTACAGGCGACGGCGTTGTAGTCTGGACAATAGGGGCACTGGAAGGAGCCACAAACACTGCAAATCGTGTTCGTATACAAGGAGATCACTTCGTACATGCTGTTATTATATCGACCTTGAAAGTAAAAATAACATGTTTGAAATTTCGGGATTGACATTCAGAGCACTGACTTATGCGTTTCAAGCTCTGTTGCACGATTTGCTTGTTTGGCCTTGCTCTAACCACATTTTCGACTTGTGTCACCTTGTCATAATTCTATCGGGGATAGGACTCGAATTTGGAAGGTGCTTTTTGAGAAAGAATCGACAGTTTATTAACCCTAAATCTCACTGAAGCTTAACAACTGTGTACCTAGTCGGCTTGACTCTACTTGAGGCAGTAAGTTATCGGCCCATATCTTTACACCAACAACTGTCCAGCCTATTGATTCAGTTGACTGCTGCAAGAACAGCAAATAGGATTTGCTGAAATTCTGTAATAAGGCGATGGCTGTCGTAGTGGTGCGTGCTGGCACCGGGGCCAACGCGTGCGCGTGCCGTTACACGGACCTCGCCTTCCTACGGACACTTCCTCCGCACACAGATTCCTCATTCCGATTGGTTCATGACTCGCCCTGTTCACGCGGGTCGATTTCGCGTCACATAATATTTTCAACCAAATGGGTAAAACATAGAAATTTGCCTTGTTTACACTTCCATCTAGCTTATGTGATGTATGTAACTGTCCGACAGAAATTTACCTTGGTATATAAATTACGCCATCGATTTAGCCTCTATTCCAAGAATTCCTCAAGGTGTCAGCCTGTTATGTGTTTTTTTTAGAATCAAACCTAACCAGTAGTGAATGCACATGTGTTAGATGGGTTCGAACATTTCAAATGGATTTGAACAGCCTCATTTGGTAGGACTTTGAGCGTATACTCGCGTCGAATGAGTCGCTGTGATGCACACGTATTTGAAAGTGCTAAACTCACCAGGTTCATAGTATTCGTAAGCAAGACAGACTTGATGATCGCTCATGTTTGACACTGGGTAGAAGCGAGAAGCGTTGAATTCTACACACGTCCTTTCTGTAGTTAACTAAAAGCAGAAAATGCTGACTTGGTTCAAGACTGAATAGCTCCCCAGACCGTCCTGAACATCTCTTTATCCCCTCATAGCATCGAGCATGGTTTCAAGGCTTAAAATGAAGAATTTGCAAAACGAATACACGACCAAAGTGTTGAAGAAGGTGGTAGTTTCAAGCCATAGCAGAATAGAACTTGGGGCTTCAGTTTCCCATGGATTGTCAGGAAAATAATAACAAGGTGAATCACTTTGGCACTGCATTCTGCAAGTCGAAACAACTGGTTCTACGAAGAGCCATGAACTGACAACGGTAGTGGCTAGTGTCTAGCACTACCTTACAGCCCTCCAGTTAACAGCCCGTAACAACCCGAGAAGAGTGGAACAAAAGGCGACAGAGGACACGACGGTTTAGTAGCGTCCCGCCAGCCAAGTGAGTCTTAGTGTGTGAATGAGTGAAGGGATGACAGGCGTCTGATTACAGTAACCAACGAAAAGGGGATGAGTCATTGTCATCGTCAGGTCGGTAAACAGGGTTCACTTAGGCGCGATCGCTGTTTATCCGCTGCATATTTGACCTTTTAATTAAGGCCACCAAGCTAATACTTTCATCTACTTGGGTTTCTAGCTACATGGGCTAAACTCAACTAGCTTCGAAAATTGGGTCCGTAGTGTTGATGTTCACCGGTGCTTTCGTGTAAGGCTTGTTACTGAGGCGTCAATTTCATTTTCATACTTGGATGTCGCGCTGCTGTCGATCATCCTGGTACCCCATTATCTCGGATGAGAGATGACCAAATCAGAGATCTTTAAGTCAAAATTACCAATTTTTTGAAATGGAATGTAACTCGTCTCTTGATCACACACACACGCATCTGGCGTTTTCGTTTGTGTGCGGTTGAACTGACGACTCAATTTCAAGTCACCTGCACAAATCTTCAGGCTCTTGAACTCCAATTTTCGATTTTTTTTAACCTTAGATAATTTCTGTGAATGGATCTGTGAACATAGTCCTCCTCTGCAAACTTGGTGATTTTTTAAACTCCTGCCTTCTTTTTGACTCAGTAGTCCCACGTAAATGTTTTAGGGGAAGTACCGTGCTCTCACGGCGCGAAATGCTTCGACCTAAGAAGAAATCATGAATCGCTGAAGCAATACGCTCTTAGTGCACCCAAGACGCAAAATTGACAACATTGTTTACCACACATAACGCGGAAGCTACAATGATGGGAAGAAATAGAAGCACCACGTGCCGGGACCATGTGGTCCTGGTTTGCAGCATCAGAGGTCCCATTAGCTAAAAGCGGATGGCATTCGTATACAAGAGAAATTGAAAGAAGGTTACCTTGTCGAAGAAAAAATGCACGTAGTGTGGGCGGAAGCGAGCGTACTTCAGACGAGGCACCCTGCCGCTTCTCACGTAATTGCGCAGCTCGTCGTTCAACACCACGTAGCCCGTTGGAACGCGAACTTCGAAGACCGCCATTCCACTCTCGTTGGCCGGCTCCAGAGGCTGAAAATCAGCAGCAGAGTCTTGCACGAGCCACTCTTACTGCGGTTCCTTTATCTTAATCGAAATTCCCACATTTGGCGGGTCCATTGTCCCTGATCGTGCACACTTGTTTTGCGCAAATTTCCTCGACTATTGGAATAACTACCTCGAGTCTAAGCCATTTGTCTTCATCTTTAGGCTGTTCTATTGGACTCGAATCCCTAGTTTAACTTCGTGAATAAAATTCTGTTTCCCGTTGAATAATACTCTAGACTATAAGCGCAACGTTTGCTTCTCCTGGGCCTAATAGGTGGTCCGATTTAAAAGCAACGTTAATAGTTAAAGCGTGTCAACAAAACGTAAAAATAGCCAAGAAAGCACCAATTTCTTAAAGTGAGGGCTCATAATAAACTTAATGTGGTCATGCATCGTTAGCAATTTTACTCTTGCAGAGACTTGAATTAAAGTATCGCTAGTTCTAAAAACTGCTCGAAGATTTAACGCCACTTGAGCCGAACGAACACATCATCCCTAAGCTAAGAGTCAAAATCTCACTTCCAGTAAAAATGAGTTATGAAAGTCGGCTTCTTTTGTGTAAACTGACTAAGCCCTGCGTCGGTTGGGAGGGGGCTGTGCTGTGGCATGATGCAGCTAAAATGATATGTCCATCAAGTCAGAGAAAGACATTTTCAATGACCAGCTCAAGTCAGTTGTATTCAAGTATACTCTACTAGTAGTTCTACAATTCAACGACTGTTGTAAGCCAAAATGTTAAATACGCAGTTTGTTACATAACATGCGTGGCAAATCTTTGACGGATCAGCGGCTATCTAAAATGCTTTCAAGTATGAAGTCAATAATATTCAGGCTAAATTAGATGAAGCAGTTATTGACGCAATTTCTTCTAATGGTAAAATGTTATAGCACCTCACTTTCCAAAAAAAAATAATCATAGGGACAAAGTGAGTAGTAAAGGTTGTCTAGACTGACTACTTACATGATTCCCGGTCCAGCTTCCGCAAACGGACATGAGCATGTGTGAGTTGTTTCTGCCAGTGAATGCGGGAGTGCACTCGATGTCAAAACTGGGGAAGATTTCGAGGAATTTTGTGGGGTTCCGAGGTTCCCGCTGGATATCGGGGAACTCGACATTGTAACTGACGTCCATTTGAAGGGTGAGAAGACCTGTCCCCTCAACCATCATCGTCACTTCTCCCCAAACCGAGCGTGGCGGATACTGCAATGGAGACAGCATTAAAAGGTGATTACCGGACGTGGTAATTTGTTGGGCCAACATCACGCCAGACGTCGTTTATATCAGAGAATTTAAGTCAGGCCGTGGGCAGAAAAAGTGCTTTGCAAATTGACTGGTTCAGGGTTACATTAGTCGTTTAAGTAACTCTAATCTTCGTTCAGATAAAAGAATGCAAATAGTGAGCAGTTGGTAGATTAACTATTGTTTTTTTTATTACAACCTGCACCTTATCCATTTATTGTGTAGAATTGTTATTAAAACACTCTTGATATGAGCCCAAAACTCACAGCCAAAAGCTAGCATCAAATTCTGTAGACAAGAAGTGTGGTAGTAACTTACCACTGTCTGTGTGAGGGTTGAATAATTGTCGGGGATAATCCATATCATAGGTTCCCACCGTTTAAGTGAACTTATCTTCTGGTTCACGGCCATTTTGTACAGTGCACGGTTTTTGTCGGCCAGGGCGAACTTGCGAAGAGCAAACAAGGCCATCAGGGAATCCTACAGTTTATGAAACACCCTTAGCCCAATCACAATCTGTGTTTATTAGATTCTAAGTAGTGAGTTTATTTACAAATGTGCTGGTGAAACCGGAAACGTGATTTCTTTGGCTGGTGAGCCAGTTGACCATGTCGAGAGCCTCATCGACGGCTGGCGTCCAGGCGTTTGTCTCAAGCTTGATTAGAAAGACGAGGGCGGAACATGCCACGCCGTAGCCGTCGTTCGGCCACTCCCCTCGTGGGTTCTCGATGCGTCGTCCAGCCTGGTCGATTTCCCACAGGGGCGCAGGAATGGGGTAGTTTGCATAGTACACGTGGTCTGCCTTCAGGTGACGGGCCTCGATTTGGTTCATCGCTCTGCAATTCAGTAAGTAGTATATACTCTTGTTTAACAGAAAGACAATGGTGAGTACTACGATCCATCTTAAATGTTAAGGTAACAATTCACTTCCATTTGAAACTGCTAAAAATTGGTGAAGCTTATTTGGTACGAAATGCTAAATTTCATCCGCAGAATGTTTAATTCCTCCTGCTGACGTTAGTATACAAAGATTTTCTTGTAAACCTCACTCATGTTGTGCTTATTTGAGGTCCCATGGAAACACTGAGGTGTATTTTATAAGTCCTCTTACTGAGTAAGTTCATTCTGGGCATTCGCTCCGGCAGCCACTTGAAGCGCATATGTTGCGATAATTTTCGCGAACAAATCCTCCACGTTAAGCACATGCATTCGGATGAACTCCACAGCAAGGTTTACTACGATGGTTGCTCGTTCTGCTGCGAGTCCACTTGGAGGGGTTTGTCCAGACCCTCGCAAACTGATGACAACCATGGCGGCCGTAGGGAGACGTCTGTGGGCCTCTTGGTCTATTGGGTCTGGCCAGCGTGTTGCATTGACGGGAGGCATGAATCGGCGGTCAACTACCATCGTCACTGGCCAACTCCCAACGAGACGGGAATCAACACCAGAGGTCACGTTGACTTGCGTTTCGAGAAGAAAGGTGATCGCGCGGACAAATGTCTCGTCCTCGACAAAAATCCAACGTTCCCATTCGGTGAGACGGGCAAGAAGCATATTCCAGATGGCAAAGGCAGTCGGAAGGGCGTGGGGCCTTCGTGTATACAAAATATTCACATTAGTAATACTTCTAATTTAACTAAAGAAAACGCTCACGCTGTAACCCCCAGAATAACTTCCTTCATCTGGTCACTAACCCCAAAATTCAATGCTGAAAGTTAGCCCACTGTTATTCCAGCTCACTTGTTTTCTAATGACTCACAGTCTGAGATGCCTAAGTAAGAAGGAAATTGAGACAAGCTAACTAACCCATCCATGTGGTCCCGGAAATTGGAAAAGGCTCCTGTTGCATTGTCGAAGTAGGTGAAACCCCGTTGAAGGACAACTGAGCAGTAGTTGACACCGCCGAGCATTACGTCATTAGGTAGATACCCAGCCCCGCGAAGATAAAACAGCAATTGGAGGTTGAATCCGAGCTCGAAGAATACATTTTCAGCCGCGCCGTAGGAGAGGCGCAGCGTGTTTTCAGTGTCCGCGTATTCGAAATTCCGACTCAGTGCTGGGCCGATTACGTCACCTAAGAAAATCAGGAAAACACAAAACACACTGGTGTGCGACTTCAGTTTGTATTGACGACTGATTCGAGGTGGGGGTAGCTTGAGCAAATTAAATTGTCTCATTAGAAAAGAATAAACTGCTTGGTTCAGCTCTCGAACTTGATACGGATCAAGCTCTTCATTGTGGTGCTACTGACCACTGCACGCAGCTTTTTACGTGTACCCGCAAACCAATGAAATCCACCACCCACCAGTAACGCTGACGATGCCCTTTTGTGAGCCAGGAATGTAGCGGTGTGCACGCTGCTCGGGTACGGTGAACTTCTCCGGAACAATCACTCGAAAGTTGTTGACGAACATCTGACTGGAACTGGTGAGGTCGATGAATCGAGCTGTGTGGAAGTAATTTGGAATGCCATTCATCTACAAAGTATACAATACAAGTACCTAGGCAATATACATTCGATTTACTGCCGGTTTTATCAGTGATTTCGAAATGAAGAAAGGGGCATTTAGCATTTTTCATGTTATTTCTGCAAAATCCTTTAATTTGTTATTCTGACTTTCGTCAGAATGAACCTCAGCCCCTTTAGCAGGAAACACATGTAATTCTTCACATTCCAGACCTTCTTTGTGGTTTTTCTATTCGGCGCATCTGTCTGTTAGGGTTTAAGCCATTATTTTTATTTACAGGCATACATCAAATGAACGTGACATGAAGTCGAAATGCTACGTCCCTCAGGTTTCCCGAGATCACACACTCAACTTCTGTTCTTCATTAAAATCAAGTACTATGAAAAATTGAACGCTAATTTGAAATTTTGGGCAAATACAAAGATATACAAGCACAAGTTGTTTGAGTGATTTTCACTACTTGTTTGCAATGTACTAAGTGACTTGCTCTCAGAACAGTGGACCTTTCTGCCTCTGATTACAGCCAGTACTTAACTGATAGTTTGTTTCACCTTTTATAGAAAATTGGCAAAATGCCAACATCAATATGATGGAAAGAGTGAGACAACCTGAGATCAAGCAAATTTTACGAGTTAAATTAAAAGTTTTGCTCCTCGATATCTTAAGTCACTTAGTTTTAATACGGTTCACACAACTGACCAAAGCGCTTTAAAAAAAGTCTTTTAAAATCCACCCTTCTTTACGCACCTGGACGAAGATGGATCGTGTCTCACAGTTTGCGCCAAGGAAGGAGAAGGCGCAAATCGTGAAAGAATTGTTTCCTGTGTTTCTGGGTAGCACTGGCATGTAGACGTACTTGGACTCGCCAGCGTCCAGGTAAACAAGGGTTTCCACCGTTTCGTTGACAGAGTACGGCGGCGCCCATGCAGTCGTTAGCCCGCCGTAAGGCACTCTAATCACTCCAATATCTGGATCCGCGTTTACTCGCACCAGCGCCTGAAATTGAAAAGGTTGGTTGATTGCGGGATGCTGCGTAAAACGTCGAATTCGTTCCCTCACGCATTTGACAATGGCGCAGGTCAGGTAAAAATTGAGAACGATGCGCGTGGATACTCAAATGAAGTCATTTGAATGGATGCAACGACTGGTTGGCTCGACTCAATAACATTCAATCATGCCAGAATTCGGACTTTGAGGTGATGAAAGTAGGGTAAAAGTAAAGAAAATCAATTGCCAGTCTTTAATTCGTCTCTGCTAAGGCATAGGTGTGATTGGTAACACTAACTTTCGTAACAAGCTCCGAATTTTCATCTACCACGCAATGGTTTCGATTGCTGTGGTTAAAGTACCTAGCCACCTTCTGCTGGAAGTCGCACAGAGTTCCGAGTGAACTAGCTCAGAAGTCTCCGTGTCCTGCCCCAGTTGATGACTAACGCCGAAACCTTCCTTCAATGAAATTTCTCTCGCCTTTTGTACTAACGATGGGGCCATTCGTCACATGCCTTTAGGGTTCTAATTTACCAGTTAATAAATTATAGAAAGTCTTGTCATCGGCGATAGAAGTAACTATTGATAAGTGATACCAAAGGCCAGGCGTGGTTCCAGTTTACGAACCTCGAGGAAGTAGTTCCAGTAGTTGAAAAGGCAGATGCGCACTCCAAACTGCTCGCCCCAGAAGCCCACCTCGGGCACTTCGAGGGTAAAGTAGAAGCGCCGAGCCCCATCGAATCTGTGCGGTGTTTGCATTAGTGCGAGGCCATCTGAGGAGTCCATAGCAAAGGCTCCAGCAACCCAGCCAGCCTCCATCTTTGGAAGGGGCACTCGAAACTGGATCTCGCCATCTGGCCTGTTTGGTGAAAGAGGGAACGGAGTTATCCAGCCTGCCAATGTACACCTTACGATCTGAGCTCGACTACGGATAGGGCTAATGAGATGCAGTCCACAGGAAAGTATGAATGACTACTGTTAAATGATAAACGATAGTAGAGAGAAAGTGCTCGGGTTAAAAAGGAATCAGGGCATGTATAAATGGTCATTATGTTGGTCAGGTTCTGTGAAAAGACTTAGATGGAATTAAAATGCTCCAAGCGAAAATTTTAACCAGTAGAATTCCTTCTTTTGACTGTTTCTAGTTCCAATTTTCCTGCCAAAAGAAGCCTTAATCTGAATCGTTTAAACTGACTCCACGCGCTCGACAACTTGGCTACTCGAGATTTCAAGGTAACTCTGTAGCTGAGTTGACTCTGCTGTTTTTGTGCGTCGAGAGAAATAAAACTGAATGGAATGAGCTCTCTCGTGTTTACAAGGCTTCGCAGACAGAATTCATTCATGCCTGGACTTCGGCTCCTATAAGATCGATCAACAGAGGATGTATAACGTCAAACATAAACCCTATGCCGAGTCCCCTTCGAATTTCATTGGAAGCTTCGGTCAATGGCGAGTATCTTCAAGCAGCCCCAAGTTATGCATTAGCACACTTAGAACATAGATCTATGGCGGTAATATCAAATAATCCAGTCTAAAATAAACTCCAGATTCGCGGCTCTTTCCAAAAGCACTGCTGAGGTGAATTTTAAACCAAGTGATTATTCTAGCACTCTTATTACAAATTCGGCAACCAGGCTCCTCCTCTCTGAGCTATCATGTTCGTGCAAAAAGCTTTAGTTTTGTCAATATGTGGGGAGGTTGAGTCAAAGACGCATCACGTCTTTGAAGATGGGGGACGTACTTAACCAGGGTGCTGTGCCACATCCAACCACCATCGTTCCAATTGCGGTAGAGCATTTCGAAGGAGCCCAGTTGTCGCATCTTGGGAGGAGCGAAGACGGTGGCGTTCTCGGGGCAGTCGGCCTCGTCGGCCCAATTGACGCACTGGTTGACGCCGTCGCACCGCTCCGCGCGCGAGTAGCACTCGCGACCCGTCGTGGCGTAGCACGGAAAGGCTCTGGCCGGATTCTCAGTCTCGTTGCACGTGTCTGCAGGGCACGAACTCGCAAACTGACCTCCGCCACCAAATGAGATTACTTAACAAGGTTTATTGGCCACGTGCCAAAACAAAACCCATGTAATCTATAGAAAATTATTTGAGATAGACGGTTTTGGAAGACTAATCTGCTAGGGCTTGTGATTTCCCTATCCAATGACTTCTACGACTTGGCGCACTTTAGCTGAAGGTCGGGTAGTTAGGAGTTCAATTAATGGAAGAATTTTTATCAAATCGAGATTTGTGGAACAATAAAATCCAGCTTAGTTTAAACTTTCCACACAGGTCTTTTGGAGGGAAGTCAGATTTGTGGGGATTTCAGACAACTTCCACAATTAGTCGACAAACTTGTTCCCCACCATTTTAGAATACAAGTCTCCATAGCACACCAGTCACGATGACGTCTTTTCTATCAAATTTGTGTCACGATTTCACGTAATTCTTTTTTCACGAATAATAGTCAGCAAAATTAGCAACGAAGATATTGAAGCAATATTGCGCAAATCTCTTGTTCCTGATTTCCAACCTGAGCCGTTGCTGCTGCAAAAAAGTACCATGTAGTATTCGTTTTTTAATCATCATTGGGAATCAAATAATGGTGAGGGGGTTTTGACGACTGATACTTCTTTTTGCCATGCAAATCGCCAGAGACAGGCAGATGTCCATGTTAACAAATTGTAAAAACTAGCCTTTCTTCTGACACAGTGAGGCAAAATACACGAGGTTAGGGTCTGACAAAACGGATTCAATTTTATTGGTCACTACGGAACAGGTATTCCGTCTGCAAGTCAATGAATTCTATTAAATTTATTTCCAAACAGACATAATATTTTTCTGCGGAAGTCATTTTTTGTCTAGAAATGGGCCATTTTGTTTTCAACGTTACGTGGGCAGTCACTTACGGTAAAAGTTGGCCTTGGTAAAATTGGCATCAGTGAACATCACAAGTCCGGATTTCTGGATTGTAGAGTTGGTGTCAGCACCGTAAGTCGGGGTGGGAACGTAGACCCTGTCTACCTGGCTTACACTGTTGTACCATGTGAACCTGTATGGCGTCTGTGCATGCGCTTCATACGTAAACATCTCGTCAACGACCTGGTTGGATAGAAAAATAAATAAACACTACCTTTTTTGAAAGAGTAAACATTTAATTGCAACAGCGTACATCGTTTTCTTGAATGAACGAGGGGCTGTCAAATCGGAAGAGATCGGCATGAAGGACATTTACAGCCAAGTAGGAGCCCGGAGTAGCTCGACCTTTGATTTCCACGGTGTCCAAGTTCAAATCTTTCCCCCTATTCACCTGGATGTGCACATTGTTTATTCGGCTGTAGTTTGTGAAGAACGTCAGACTGTCGGCTATAATTTCGCCATCATTTTTAACGCAGAACGCCAATATCCGACAAACTGGAGCCATCATTTTGGAAACCGCAATTGAAAATGACCGGAAGGTGACTGAACTGGGCATTGAAAGACGATCAGAGGTTATTATGTTCCCACCGGCTGCTACCTATCAAAAGTTTAAGATAAATTGAATAAAATTTGTAATTGGCCATGGGATTTGTGTTTGCACTGACGGCGGCCGAACGTCTGAACTGCTGAAGCAAAATCAGTTCAGGGTTCCTACTAGCCGGGTAAATGTGAAGATTCAAGTTTAAAGGCAGGTGCTGTGAACTGAGAAATGCTTACCAAATGTCCCTAGAATGCATTCCAGATTTGAATATGTTCTGCGTGTGTACATGCCTGGCTTTCAAAGCACTCTGCATGGTAGCTAACGCAAATGCATGGGAACAGCCAAAGTCATTACTTGTGCGTATGTGTGTGCTGCCGGTCGGATTAAATACGGACAAAACTTCGCAGTGCTAAGGAAGGCAAATATACCACAACGTACCAGATAGTGAATTGTGTCGACCGGATAGTTCGTTTCCACATTCAAAACCATGTATTGGCCGACCTAGAATGAACCAATTGGGAAATGGGATGTCAATTTAACTCAAAGGTAATTATCTGGCAATTGCACACTTTGCGCGATAACTCATGACATCTGAGCCACCTTTACGCCGATGGTAATTGGTTTTATTTTTAAGCCGAAAAACCCATTTCAAGCTCATTACAAGCATTAACTAAATCTGCCACAGAGATACACAGTCGATTTGTGTGCCCGTAGTTTTGATTACGTGTACAAAATTCTTAAAACATCCAGATTGGTCATAATTTAGGGTTCAAGTCAGTTGGGAAATTAATGAGCGAGTTATAATTACATATCGCATGAAACATTGGTGTGAGAATCTGGTAATTTAAGAGGCCTACGTTCCATAACTGTTGGGGATCCACGATACCCCAAGATTGTTCGTAGTTGGTTTCTGGCACCATTTACACTAATTCACTAACATGTGTCTTATTACGCTTTTTATCAGGTCAAGGTCGACCATGACTTGACTTAGCGTACACTCTTGACCAGTCACTCCGCACGTGGCTGACGTGATTAAAGCTCTTTACTCGAGCTTTGGTCTTGTTCTTGTATTAGCGTGGGGAGGTTAGTGCTAGCGTCAACAAGGTATCTGATACCGTTATTTGAGTGGTTTTCTGTTGGTTACGGGCAATCGTAACAATAACATTCCCACAATATGCCTACCTGTGGCTGCGGGGTGGTGGTAGTTAATTGCAGATAGGTGCTTGAAGGCGACTGGAATTTGAACAGTCGTTGGAAGGCAGTTGCAAGAATAATTGAGTTCTCATCGATGAAGGATGCCTAAATTGGTGGAAGAAACACATCCGAAATGCATTGCCCAGACTTGGGGCCATTATTGGGCCTTTAAAATTCCGTCTTTACCCTTAATTTCAATGACTCAGTCAAATCTCAAGCAAGAAAACACGCTTGGTGATTTTGTTATCAACCGCTTGGGTGTCAGTTTAACATTCCAAAGGTATCTCCATTGAATGAGGCTAAGGACTCCCAACTAATTTGGAGTGCGAGGCGCTAATGGCTCTGCCTGACCTCGCAACTTGAAAAATTCGAAGCCATCACTGATGCATTCTGATGTAGGTGGATGGCGAGGATAAATAAGGGGCCTTTACCAAAAAGCTTGCGAAACTAAAACTTGACCTGCTAAACGGGCAAATATGGGGAAGACATATACTCGGAAACTAGAAACTAAATGTCTAAAAAACTTAAAGCAATCTAAAGTTAGAGCAACAAGGCAAAGGTTATTTGAATCAAACAGACTCCAACCGTTGACTGGTAAAAGTCCATGTTCACATGCAAACCAACTAGACATTACGAGGCTTTTTGTTACCCTTCCTCGAAATCGGCCAAATAGGCTGAAGAGACTAATCTTCAAGGCTTCCAGGCGCTACGGTGGTGATCTCTTGAAAAAAATTAAATAGGTAGGCGTTACCTGCATACGCAGACTGGTGCAGGTGTCGTCGGCCTTGGGGCGGAATGTGTACTGGATGAGTGCGTCGTCAGGGATTGGCAGGAGAACTGTCCTCAGTTCAGGTCCTTCCGCGCAGGTTATCGACAGACGGACCCTTCGGTTACCGATGTACAGCGGTTGCTGGCCGTCCGCTGTGAATATTACCATCTAAAGGAGTTGACAGAAATACCCATCTAGAGGTCTTTAGAGTCAAATTCACTAATCGGTAATATTTTGACGTGAAATCTGTTGTGAATACTTCGCTCAACACAGCCTCCCACTGAAATTGGCTGGCAGAAAACACTTAAGCATTCCCATAAATAACAATAAAAGTTCTAACTTTATGCATAACTTCTTTATTGGGCGGTTGCTCTGGTAAATATATCTTTTGTACTTCGTCTTACCGAATCAGACGTGTTACTGCCTTCGTCTTTGCACTAGATTGACAGCCAAGGAATTTTCTGCTGTCGTTTTTCTCCATTTTTGGTGTCAGTAAATGCAAAACTAAAACTGTACTGGTGATCGCAATAAACAGTAATTAATAAATGCGCATCTCTATGAGGCAGGTTATACGAAAACCTGAGTTCTTAATCAATTCAACTTGTACTAGTGACCAGAACGTACGTAAGCTGTGAAGTACATTCCTGGCTTATACGACCGAACATCTCCACCGAGAAATTTGATGTTTGAATTAGCAGAGAAAATCTGAGTGAAGGCCCATCCGCCTCTTGTCTCACCTTCCCACCAGTTAGTTACTGAAACGTTCGCCCAGACATCCATATTAGCGAGTGAAGGTTGTGTTCCGCCAGTACTGCTCGTAAGAAGTGATCGAAGCTCGGAGAATGGCACAATAAAATCACCGTGGCCATCCATCTTAAAAGAACATCGTAGCTAATTATTTTATTACTAATGTTAATTAAGTAGGTGGTGCTTATCAAACCTGGGAAATTGTGCGTGTCAGGGTACCGACGGGGGGCTTGGCCCACATATCGGGTCCGCGTTCTCGCATTTCAATGACCACAGTAGCGTTTCCACGGACGTACTTTCCACTAGTGTAATTAGCCTGAATCAGCCCAGTAAGGGCGAAATCTTCATCAGAATACCGAGGAAGCATTGTCACATTAACATCCCACAGTGCTGCCCCTAAATTTTTCTTGTTTAAAAAAAATTAAGCTCTTACAGTATTCAACGACATGAAATGTCTTTTCAGCAACATATTTTTCATGCCGAGCCATTATCTTCCATTCACCTTCATTTACTTGATCGGCCAGAGCAAAATCGAGTTCGATAATGCCTAAGACACAAAATCGCATGAATAAAGCCCACAAACTGACCTCCAATATTTGTCATGGGATTCAGCCACCGCTTAAAGACATTATTCGAGGAGTCCGCGACTTCCACGGAAACAAGCGAGCCAAACCATAGCATAAGGTCCGGCTGTACAGGTACAACCCGAAATCGAACGATTTGATTTTGGTGGTAAATTGGCTTGCTTGTCTGGCGTGACGGCAAGTAAAGGGAATTTCACGGCTTACTTGGATAATAAGAGAAACCGTCTTAGGATTAAGCCCTATCATTGTACGGTTTTGAAAGAGCAAGGAGCTGTTGGCGGTTATGGAGCCGTCAAGATGCAACCAATATTCACCAGGAGAGGCTTGGTTGGGAACCTAAGAAAAGCAGAAACGCTGTGTATTACCAACGAAGGATTGCTGTTGCACATTTGTTGGGTTAATTATAAGAAGCTTTGTTATAATAGTCAAACGAAACTTTCAAATAAATGGCTTAAAAGAAGAAAATTAGGCGTTTTTAAAACCCTAGAAAAGTGTGTAACACTAGAAAATGACTGCTGTAAGAAAACTCTTAAAGTACGAAGGTCGACTGGCGAATATTTTTACGGCTAACAGTATCAGTAAATATATTTATTAAAGGAGTTTAGAACATATTAACAAAGTGGGAAAACCAAGAAGAAGCAAGCTATTGACATCGAGAAACCCGTGGGCCATGTGAGGTGCCACTGCTTTTATCAGAACTTATGTACCTGTCTATTCGCATTTGTAAGTGCTTCACCACTAAGGTTAAATACAATATTTGACCCAAACTTCCTGACATTACCTACAGGTACAAACAGCAAAATTACGCTGCTTTTGTAATGTGCCCCTACTTATTCCTTAAGCTAATTTACAAAGATTACGTAAAGAAAGGGCATAGTAAAAATCACAATGTGAGGAAATTCAGAAGAATTGTAATAAATTCAATAAATCAGGACTTTGTTGGTTCCTATTTTTTTGAATACTCACTCTCATATGAAGGACCCGGGTTCCAGTGGCTAAAAATACTGACGAAGTTGAGATCAGTTCCATAACACCCTTTTTGATGGCAAGTCGCATCGTAATCTGTGGATAAATCATCCTCAAAATCGACACGCTAATTTTAACATCCTCGTCAGGTCTGACTTGATTTGGAGCCAATATAATGTACGACCTTAGAAGTTAAAGAGTCCAGAAATAGAATCTTACGGAACCGGCTCCAGCATATAACCACCAGTCTTTTGTAATGCAACTGGCCAAAAGAAAGACGCAAAGAAGATATAAAAGCTAAAATAGAGAAAATTATTGCAAGTTATCAAATCCCAGTTGTGATATTTTGAGTCCACAATAGGTTTTCGTATATTTAGTTGCAAAAACTTATGGTTCAATCTCAAACGACAAGTACCTTTGCTAATTTGCATTGATTTCACTTAGCAATTTTAGATTTTGCATAATTTTAAGTAATGAGTAAGGCTATAGTTAATAGTAATTACAAGCGAATTCAACCAGAATATAGTCTCCAAATATGCGTTCTAGGTGAACCATTTAGCCAAAGACTTTGTTTGAACTGGCGGCAGAGGAACATGGGATGTGGTGGACTAATGACATGCTGTTAAAGAATAACTAACTTCCGATGACCCTTATTCAAGCACTAATTTGTTGCAGAAACTACACTTTTAAATCGATATCTAAAAATCAAATGAGTCATTCTGAATTATATTTACTTGTAATTTAATAAACAACATGTAACTCATCTGTTCAACATAAGGTGAATATCAGACCTTTAAGTACACAATACTATAATTATGCGAAACCAGATAACTTTTTCAAACTCCAAAATTCACTAAAAAAACCCCGATTTGTATTGTGCAAAATTGATATATATATATATATATATATATATATATATATAT